GCGCACCTAATCTGTTTAGTTTAGTTTTGCAATTCAGTACCACTTTTGAGCAAATGTTTGAGTTTAATGATATGGCGGCTGCTTGGCTATCAATAGAGATAGAAAGAGAAACTACTTTATTCTGGGACTAGATCCCTAAGAATAACAAAATCGTCATAAAATTTTTTACAAATCTGGCACTTAAATTAATGAAGGTTTGACGTTAACATCAAGCAAAACGTGAAATAATACAAAGTATAAAAAATATAAATAATAGAAGCAATAAAAAGTATTTAGGGAAAAGTAGTAACAATAAAGAATTTTCTGTCTTTTGCAAACATAATCACGTACTGTAAGATTAAAAGGAGGCAGCAAGTTTTCTACTGTAGCAAAAGCACCTAATAATATTGTGAACTATGTTGTCTCTGATTGACAAAAGAAGAGAATTCTAGAGATTGGTGACTCGAGGAAGGACCTCTCAAATGTATTCAGATGTATTTGAAATGAGATTTTATGATGAGGAAAATATAGGTCATTGGGAGACGAGTGGGTGTTAAAAGTGCGGATAGAGGATTTGAACTGAAGTAGCTTGAAAAACATAGCTGTGTCCTAGTTTTTGTACCCTATGTTCAAATTGACTTGCTTACATCTCTCAATCGTGAGGATTTCTGCTTGAAAAATACTGGTGTATGCCCATGGTGATTATTTGGTTTTGAAACTAAATACTCCTGTCCCATACCTCCTTGCATCCTAGATCCTAGTCAACCAGTAAATAATCCCTTTTTTATTTGAAGGTTTTTCCTTTTTCCCACTTTTTTTTTTTTTTTTTTTTTGTACACTTCTACACATTGAGGCTAAGGTCAGAGCACTAATCAGCTGCTACAGATTAATTAGCGAAGGCAGCTGGAATTATAAGTGCAATAACATAGGTCACTCGAAAATCTTACAACTATTGAGAAAGGTTAACGGCCAATTATTAAGTGTTAGTGATAAAAAGATTAAAACCCCTTCGGGGGAAAAGTACTTTCAGGTATACTTTTGAATATAATTATAGTGTGGATGATGACCATCGCAACATAGACTGCTATAGGTTCACTTATCAAAGGTAAGGTGCAGGAATCTACATACCTAAATTAGGAATCACCACCTCCTCCCCCCTTGGCAGTAACACCTCCATATTTCAAGTAGAAATCTGGGCCATTAATGTGTGTATTGTAGAACGCTTATGGAAAATAAAATTAAAGGAAAAGATATTGGAATTTTTTCTGACAGTCAGGCTAGTCTTAGGTCATTACAAAAAGATTTGTCAACCTCTAGACTGGTGGAGGAAACTGTAGATCTTATCAATAGGATCTCTTCCAGGGAACAAGGTAACCCTTATTTGGATACCAGCACATAAAGGACACCATGGCAATGAAGAGGCGGATAGACTGGCCAAAGAAGGCTCTAATACTCCGTTTGTCAGGCCACAACCGGTATTACCTCACTCTATGAGCACAGTGAAAGAGAGTATTAAAAACTGGGGTATGAAACAATTCCTTAAGGAATGGAATCTATCCCTCGGACACAGGCAATCAAAAGAGTTTGTTAAGGTGATCAAACCAGCAGAATCGAAATGGCTATTCTCTAACTCAAGGAAGGGAATTAGAAGGCTGATAGGATCTGACCTCTTCATAATGGGTATCTTACCCCCCTTTTGCCGTTTTTGCGAAATAAAAGAAGAAACGGCAAGGCACTACCTCGCAGAGTGTGATAGGTTTGCTAGGTCTAGATTTGAAATCTTTGAAGGAAAGGACATCACCAAATCATTTCCAGAGATAAAATGGTCCAAAATTTTGGGGTTTGTGAACAAGTCCAAGAGGTTTATGCAGGACATGTGAGCTGAGCAAGTCCCGGACCGGGATGGGGAACAAGTCTACCCAAGCATTTAACCCCTCGGGTCTTGGCCGCCCACCCTGCGTAATATATATACTCTTTTTGGTGCATAAGTTTGTCTGAAAGTTTTGTTTAAAATATATTTTGTCTCTAGGGATGATGAGTTTTCCTTGCAGTCCTTATTACCTGGTGGAGGGGGATTAGTCCTAATTTTTCTTCATACCAGATATGGACATGTCCTCATCGCTCCAGGTGAGCCTCTGAATTTATTTACTTATTGTTTTAGTTCTTTGTTTTAACTTTATCACAGGCAAATGCACCGCATATGAGGAACAATCCTACAATCATGGAGTGCATCCAGAGCAGAATTTCTGGTCAACATTCCCAGTCTTTTTTACTGTCCTTCTGCACAACATTAAAGCATATGCGGCCTTTTCTGTAGCGGTGCCAATATGTTCTCTGAATATTAGTGTTTATCTAGTGTAAATACTAGATAATTGACTTCATTTTTCAGCAATCACTGTCATTTTGGTGATATGATCTATTTTTCTTCTTTTTGTAAAAGAAAAGAATGCTGTTTATGTTTAGTTAAGGTTGATCTGCACCCCAGCTGACTGCAGACATGTATTATGCGCACCTCGGCAGAGTCTCCTTAGTGTGTATGATCTTGTTTCAACTCGCAAACCAAACGAGTGGTTTCGCCGGCTGTAAAATGCTTTCATCGGATCAAAATTGTACACTTCATCATTTTCATCAAAGGACTGTCAAACAAATATTAAGATGCAGGTATTACGTTTAAATGATTCCAGTGAAGGATCAAAAGGATAACATTGTTAGACAAGAGTGTGAAGTTAATTCAATAAATATTTAGTTAAAGTTGAAATAATGTTTGATTTAAGTGGACTCGCCTTTTTAAATCAATCTTTCAATTATCCTGAAGACTCAAGTAGAAAATTCAACTGTAAATAAATACAAACATACGAGAAAAACTTACTCAACAGGTTTCTTTTTCCTGACTTTGGTCTCCTTGACCTCAGTTTCCTTTGGCTTTTCTTTCATCCTGGAATGTGTGGAAAACTGCCGAAGGATTTTCCCCCCGAGAAAAAGTCCCTAGGGCAAGTAAAACTTACAAAACAAATAGTTTTGTCAATTTATTAACACAACCTGTGAAGAAACCTCGACTATAACAGGGCGGTTGAGATTCACAGAATACAGAGGGCGGTACTTTTTAAAAAAAATTTCCCCCTGCTTATATTTTATTTCTCTGAATTTGCATAAACTTCTTAAATTGGAATAAAATTATTCCATTTTATTCATTCAACATTAAACGCACTGCACTAATAATGTTCCAAAAGCAGAAGCAATCTTAAAAAAATAAAAAAATAAAATAATAGATCGAAGAATTCCTTTAAAAATACACCTTCTCAGCATTAACTGCATATTTGATATTAAACTTAATTTTTATATACCAAATATAATAAGACAAAAATAATAAAAAGAGAAAGAAGAACAATGATATCACCAAATTTTAAATACAGAATAATTATTGTCATTGACTCTTTTGCTTGGAAAACCATTTTATAAAGCATAGAAATACTGTACTTCTTCAAAATTACAAATTATTGATTAATTATAATCAATTTGGCTTTTAATTATACATTATCATTTCAACATTTCTTTAAATGAGTAAATATTACTTCTTGGCCAAACAAAAGGCCCTAGAAGGAGTAGGCCTTTTTGGTAAAATGTAAATGGAGTTGTAGTCCTTTTTTGGCATCATATTTGACCAAAGACTTTCTCGGAATCAACAACTATATAAAACCACACAGGGAGTGAAAATTTCCATTTTTAGATATAAACACCTTTGTAGGAAAAGTTGGGGTTCAAAGAAAATATTTTGGAAGAAAGGTAGCCCCAAGTTTCAGTTATAGGTACACAGATGGATGGAAGATGAAATAGGGAGTAGGTGTTCAAAGTCCCTGTGAAAGCTTCTATTTTCAGTATTAGAAGTATTGTCCACTTTTTTCACTCATGAACACTCTGGATCAATGTATGGTCTTAAAGAATAAAGCAATAAAGTCAAACAGGCAGTAAAAACTGAATTTGCTTTATTCTTCAAGAACATACCCTGATCCAGTGTTCATGAAAGCCCCTTATACTAATCCCGACAATTTTACAAGCTTAGGTCTTGCAATACAATTCTGTGCACAGGAGTTAATAAAGAAAAATATAAAAGGTGCACAGATTTACATACTCTCAGTCAGCCAGGCAGTCTGTTCTCATATCCATTAATATCTTATGCTTGGTATACCTGGTTCACTGGTTGTTCACAAACAAAAAGGAGCACTTTATTCAACTTGCTATCTTTGTGCAAACTCTATTTGTGATTTCCTCTTGAGTTCTTCAAGGCTGTAGCTTGATTACACTCAACATTAATGGTTGGCTGAGTTGTTTCTTATCATTTTGGTCTAACACGAATCGACCTTTCGTCATCATGTTAGAACAATTTATGTAGCCAAACTGTCCCGGATCATTTCAATCTGCCTGAAAGACCAAAATGAATCGGAAACAACTAACTGCAAACCCAAACGTTATGCATTCAGATCTTAGAAATGTCCTGTTATAAATTACCACGAATAATAAAAGAAAATTTTACAGAGATAACAAACAATTTAGCATATTCTACGTAATAAAACATTTTTGCATTTCGTAATAATAAAGGATGATCATTGGGCAAAGATTGGAAACTTTAAAGTATGGTTATGCTTGTTTTATTTGAACAAAATAAGTTTAACAATTAAAAACATTATGTATTATTACAAAATGTACCTCAGTTAAGAATTTGACTAGGAACAGCATTTTTTATCTTTTATTACATATATATTTTTATAGGTGTGCTTTAATTTTGAACAAAGAAAGTTAACTGGTAACTAAATTTTCCAAAGGGAAAAGAAAGATTATTATACTAAATATCTGGGAAATTAGGGAGAAAAAGACATCTAAAATTTAAAAATTAATTCATAACAGCTTAATAATACTGTGTGAAAATAGTATTAAAATTGATAATACTTAAGCAAAAAAAAAAGTTAAATAAAAATATAACTTTTATACTATATACAATTTTATAATAAAATAATCTCTTGTGACTTTTTCTCTTTTTTTTTGTTCATTTTATATATTTCCAATGATCAACATGATAAAAGACACAAAAATATAAAGCAGCTTCTGTTTACCTTTATAGGTGAACAATATCTCATTAAAATGTCAACTTTAGCTGATACTAATGGCCTCCTATCTATAAAAGTAATTTTCAGTTATAGAACATTTCCAAGTAGAAGCAAACCTAGCTCTTAAGCGCTTCAAGCCTGCTTTGCATTTCTTCTAGATCTTCGTCATCATCTTCAGCTGCTGCTTCTTCCTTGACACTTGATGTACCAGGCACTTCAGTAACGGCCGCAGGCGCTTTTCCAAGGGTCCCTTGCGTCAACTCCCATAAGACCTTTGAATCATAAAATTGTGTAATATTGTGTTGAGGTGGCAGAGAGCCTACAAAAACTGCAAAATTTATGTTGTCACTTGTTTTTAACCGACCTTGTCGATTTCTTCTTGCGCCGCTTCCTCCATTTCTTCCCCATCTTCAAGCACGTCCATCGTCTCTTCCAGCATTTCTTCAATTATTCCAGCCTTCATCATTTCTTTTGACAGCTCGCGCATGGCTGCAGCAACTTCAGGAACTTTGACCAATCTTTGCATAGACTGCATCACCTCGGTTGATTTCTGAAGCGATCCGCTGACCCTAAGCGTCGCTGTAAAATCGAACAATTCAACCGTACAAATTAAACTAAGTTATTTCCACTTACCTAACTGGTTCTTCATTTGAAGCTGAACTGAATTAAGGTGTGCTTTGGATGTATGTATCTTTGTGATGGCTTTTCTAGATCGGATGACCTCCTTCGCCAAAATAGTACATACTGCTCGATCTCCCTTTTTGGCGGCTTCACGCATTGAACTTTTTACCTTATCTTCTTCCCTCTGAATACCTAAAAGTAAAATAGAATAAAACCCTCTACTGAATGAAGTGCATATTTGAAATATACTTCTTATCTGCCTCTCCAGTGCAAAACACTCTTTCCTGATCTTACGTGACCATTCATTAACCTGTAAATTAAAAACAGTAATTATTTTCCACCACAAACTTCAAATCCTCATTTCAAAAAAGACATATGTTATAATTAGAAACATAGATAAAATTTTAGTAATTTTTCTTGCAACTATGCTCATTGTTTGTAAGTATTCTTGGTTTAAACCTTGGACTCAAGGTGGCCGCAATTGTTTAGGTAAATCCAGTGGGGCTCTGTGTTCGAACCTGACAATTTTTTTTAGATCCTGGCACTCTGAGGGTTCATATTACCTCGTCATTGAAATACCCTCACAAAAATAATAATAATAAATAATTTAAAAAACGGGCTCACCATGATGAGTTGCAGGTTAACACCATGAACACTTGGCCCCTTCTTTATAGTTTAAAGAACTTAAATTCAATAATTAAACAAAAAAGAATTTAAAAAAAGGATTTAATAAACCAACAATAAAAGACCAAAAATAGATGTAGCACTAACTTCATCTTATAATTTATATGTTTTTATATTATTCACTATTAAATTATTAATGGTGTAAAGAAAAATTATTTAGTTTATTTATATAGTTTTGTTGTTTAAAATTTAATGATGATAGAAGTTTATATAAAGAAGATCTCTCATAACAGAAAAAAAGAGTTAATAATCAAACAAACTGTGGAAAACTTTGTTGTTTAGTTTGGAAAATTAAAAAATTTATCTGGCTCTCTGAAAACTCATAAAATTTCTAAATTAGCAGGTGAAAAGTGAATGGCACAATACTTCGATATTCACTCACTTATCAAGCACAGGACATTAACAACAGTTTCCAAAGCTGAGTTTCCACTCGTGCAACTGTTTCATGAAACTTATCTCGTATTGTGGAGACCTAGCAGGGACAGTGAAATTGGTGCGAGGATATTTCGGGGTGAACTGACAAGCTGTCGGGTTTTTTTTTAGTGCGTGTCAAAGTGTTTCCCATTGTTTGTTTCGCTCCATGTAAATGCACTTGTCTTGAGTATGAGAATGAACCGGGAGTACATACAACTTATACGAATGTACTTATTGATTTTTGTGGGATGCTGAAGATAAAACTCATCAGAATAAGAACAAGAGAGAGGATGCATGGAAGGAAATTAGCATCGAAATGGGACAAACTGTTGGTACTCTTAAAGAGAAAATGGAAATTCTAATGGGGTTCGCCGAGGAAATTATTCTTTGACCTACCAACGGCATTTTCTTTGTTCGTTTTTCTTGTTAACATAAAGTATCGTCATGATGCAGCGGTTTGGGTAATTATAAATGGAATGCTTGTCTCGAGCAACTGATAGCTCACCTTGTTTCGCCTCTATGTTGCGAAATGTTTCACCTCATGAAAATGGTTAACCTGAGATGGCATTTCACAAGTAATGAACACAGCGAATCTTTTTGTAGCAGATCAAACTACCAAAAACACAGTCCATCAGATTATGTCCTCAGTTCAATGGGATTGTATTCCAGGTGTGTGAAAAAGTTAATCAAAAAGCCTTCATTGAAGTCTATCATTGGTAATTAAAACTTTTGGCATTGATAACCAGGCTGGTACTGGCCGAGTGCAAAGAAATCACATATGCATGACACTCTTAGCCAAACTAATGAAAAAAGAAAGGATGAATATTTATGTTAGGTTTTTATCCAATTGGTAGGATATTAAGCCGATCTGTAATATAGGAATTATATACTTTGTTTTTACTTCGCTTGATAATTATCAAAGACTAATAACATCACACACCTCACATCAACAATGTTGAGATAGTATTAAGGGAGAAAGTGTATGTCAGGGCGAGAATGATAGTTGGACTGCAGACCACAGAGACTCCAAGGCAGAAACAAGCCTGGGCCAGGAGGAAGGACGAAACAGCAGAACATCGGAACTAGTCCTTTCTTGGTGTGAAGGATTATGCAGGCTGAGATCCCTATTCATAGTCAACTAAGTCCAATAATAGTCAGGAAATAAGGTCGTAAAAAGGCTGACACTTTTTAACTTTAACATTAGTCAAACTAATCACTATTATTAAGAAAAAAGAAAGGATGAATATTTATGTTAGGTTTTTATCCAATTGGTAGGATATTAAGCCAACCTGTAATATAGGAATTAAATAGTCTATTCTATTCTTCGTTTGGAGCAAAAAATACCCAGGAGAAAATTTTCGGAAAGTTCTCTATTTTGAAGATACTCATCACTTTAGGTTTTTTCAACTTTTCATTACCTTGCCACATAAAAACGCTTACAACTTCCAAAATGTTGAGAGTACAACAAATCCAAGTACACCATTTGAAAGAATGCTAAATTTACTATAAGATATCGGGTTGTCCGGAAAATAATGCAGGATTTTAAGTTTTCATTAAAAAAAATCTATATAAAATATTCTGTTTACGTTTACAGGATTACTCA